CGCTCCTGCGGAGAAAAGGAAGGAAGGAAGAGGAGGGCGCCCGCCAGGACACGGCTGGATCGGAGAAAGCCGCCAGTCGAGCGCAGCAGGAGGCTAGTCCCCAGTGAGGCCGCGCCCTCCCGTTTACCTGCGCGGACCGGCCGGTCAGCGCGCATCTCCCGCTCCAAGCAGACTGAACTCGGCCCACCAGCCACGCCCACCGATGGGCTCGGCCAATCAGTGGAAGGTGGACGCCTGGCGCCCCGCCTCCCTCCGCCGCGCTTGCAGGAGGAAAGTTCGCAGCCGGTTCGCGCCCGGAGCTACCCGCTTGGTCCCGGTGCGCCCTTGGCAACGTTTGGAGGGGGCCGAAAGGCACTGGCTCCCGGAGGCTGCTCGCTCCAGGAGCCGGGGGAATGTTCAGCCCGCCCCAGCTCAGGCAGCCCAATCGGTGGAAGGGCGTCGCCTCCCCGGGGAAGGAGACCGTCTCCCAAAAGACCCGCCTTCGAGGACCACGCCCGCATCCTGTTGCCGCGGCAGGGCGGCGAGACCGGCACAGGGAGGCGCAAACGGCACCCAGTTGGCGAGCTTCCCGCCTTTGCGACCGGTTGCCAAGCCCAGCGGAGGCCTCCGAGGAGGGGGGACCAAGAGCGGAACTGCTTTGTTTCCAGTTGCCTCTGCACCGATCTACCACGTCTCCCCTGTGCAGAGCCAAGCCGAGGCACGCAGCAAGTGCGCAAGGAAGAGACACTAGAGACCATATTGCATTTGCAATATCCGCTGGCTACTGCCGCGGGACCACGAATCTGAAAGGATCAGTCTATGTTTCATAGACCACAGAAAAGCCTTTGACTGTGAAAGGTCCTGAGAAACTCTGGACAGTTCTGAAAGAAATGACTGTGCCCCAGCACATAACCTGTAGTTGGAATCATAGAATAGTGGCGTTGGAAGGGGCCTTTAAGGCCTTCTGAGTCCAAACCCCCTGCTCGATGCAGGACTACAAATCAAAGGAGATCTGCCAGGTGGTTTCTCTTGAATGCCACACTCAGGACAGAATATGGAGAGACAGACGGTTTCCTAGAGGTAGAGGTGTCCAAAAAAAAAGGGGGGGGGAGTGTATTTTATCCCCTTATCTGTTCCATCTGTAGGCAGAACATAGCATTCCAAAAGCCAGACTAGACTCAGAAGGAAGACAAGTGAAAACTGGTGGAAGAAACATCAATAATTTAAGTTGTGCAGATGACAACATCATACTGGCAAAAAGCAGAAATGAATTGGAATGACCGTTAGGGAAAGTGAAAGAAGAACATGCCAAAGTAGGACTGTAGTTGAACATTAAGAAGATCAAAACCATGACAACAAAGGAAATACAGAGCTTTGACATTGACAAGGAAGAAATTGATGTGATTAGTGATTTGATATACCTCCAAAGGGAAACTGCATCTAAGAAATCTCACAATCTGTTTATAAATACATTTTACTTGAATCCCAAGTTTATCACTTAATTTCATGTAATCAAGCCTGGAGTAAAAAAAATGTTAAAGCTGAGGTTCTCCTACTTTGGGCATGTCATGAGAAGGTAGGATTCTCTGGAAAAGACAATCTTGCTGGGAAAGGGGAAAAGCAGCAGGAAAAGAGGAAGACCAAATACAAGATGGAATGACTGCCTAAAGAAACCACAGGCTTGAGTTTACAAGAGCTGGCCAGTTGAGAACAGGACATTTAGGAGATTCATGAGGTGGCTTGACGGCACATAACAACAGCAACAAGCAAGAAAACTATGGTTATTGCCCTTTTAAATGTTGTACGTTTACAGAAATGTGAAAAACAATCATCTCCAAAAAGAGTATGAATCCTCTGTGAAGCCAGCAAGGACAAAGCCAGGCTGCCACTTGGCCTCAAGAAAAACTCTCACTGGTGAGTCTCCCTTACAGCAGGAGGAGGAACTAGGTCAGAATTAACCTCCCTGGGTCTGAACTCTCCCCGCAGGGGCCTCTGTCCTTACGGAGACCCAGCAGAGAGGCCAGGAGAGGCCGTCCTGGCCACGTGGCCTGCTGGGCTCTGTGTGTGTGTGTGTGTGTGTGTGTGTGTGTGTGTGTGTGTGTGTGCCTGGCTTCCTGCCTGGCACGTGGGGAGCACCAGAGGGAAGAAGGCGGTTAGCGGCCTCCTCCCTTCCTGGCCCGCTTTGCCTGCAAGACCATCTTCCAGGAGGGAGAGCCAAGAGGCAAGGGGATCAACCATGAGCTCAGAAAACCACTTTCCAAAGGAAACCGCATCCCATATTACCGCTAGATAGATAGTTTAAAAATAAAAGACGTCTGAAGGCAAGAGCTGCCAGCCTCTGACCCAAAACACTTCACTCTCCCATGCCCTGTATCTGCCTAAGTGTGGTCTCGGCCCCTTCAACCGTGGGCATCAATCTTCCCCTCGGGCCAGGGCCGCGTGGGTGCAGGTCCTGCAGCCCTGCGGCTTCCCAGGGACCCCTCCTGCCCCCGTGGCCGCGACCACCGCCGTTCCAAAGGCGCCTTACCTGGGCAGCAGCGTTTCCTGACCTCCTTCAGGAATGTCTGAGTCTGTGAGCCGAACGGCAGCCGCACCAGCAAGCGGGCGTCCCGCGTGGTTATCTGGATGGTGATGTCCGAGCCTGGCAAGGGACGGAGGAGCCTGGCGTTAGCCTCCGTTGGGTCATCCAGACTGGAGAGAAATCCAGCTGAAGCCCACAAAATAGGCCACGAACTCGGACACACCCGAGCAACACTAGGCACAACCTGGGTCTCACATGGCATCAAGTCATCTAGGATTTCTGGGGGGCCTAATAGGGCTTTCAAGGTAAACGAGATATTGAAGGAGTGGATTTTGTGCCGGTGTCCGTGGTCAGCTGAGGTTTTGAACCCAGGTCTCCCAGTCCACGTTATCACCCTGTCACCACCACACTGGACTGCGCAGGCACGGGGGCTTCCTCGGCCAGGCTCCCACCCTGCTTGCCAAGGGTGGGCGAACGTATCCGAGAAGGAAGCTTTGCCACGGCTGCAGGCGGAGAAGGCTTACCGAGAACGGGCGGGTCGCCATCCAGGACGACTGTCGGAGAGGAAAGAGAAGCGAGGGATGAGAGGCTTTCCTCTGGCCCGGAGGAAAAGGCCCCAAGAAGGAAGCCCCAAGCTGGGGGTGGGGTGGGGGTTCGTGAATCCTGCGGCCCGAGAAGGGCTGGCAAGGCGGGGCTGCGGCAGATCCGAGAGCAGCCTCCTCCCGCCGGCGACGCACCTTCTTCCAGGGCGAAGCCCGCTCCTCGCAGGGGCAGGACCCTTTCCAGGGACACGTCCTCGGCGGCGATGGCCATGCGCCGGTGGGTGTACACCGCGACCCTGCAGGGAAGGCACCCAGAGGACCGCCTCG